ACCATTTGTCTGAAGTGGTGTAGGGTTTCCTGCCTAAGCAGGGGGTTGGACTAGAAGACCTCCAAGGTCCCTTCCAACTCTGTTATTCTATTCTAGTCATTCTATATTATGCAAATAGTTAATACATATCACAAAATTATAGGCCTATCATGGATGTTTTGATTAAGGAGTCTTCAGCTGGAGCAGTAGAGAATTACCAATCTTCATAGCTAGAAACCCATAAGACTCCCTTTTAGGTTGAGTAATATTATATATACAAAGCACAGAAAAAAGTAAGAAGTTATGAGATCATTTATAGATTTTACATTCCAAGTAGTAATCCTCCATATGGAAGATTAATATGAACAATATAAGCAATAATGATTATAAAGGTTGGGTAAATGTTTTATTTTAAGTGGTATGTATCATTTAAATTTTCATTTTAACAATTACAGTACAGGTAATAATAATATTCCTTGGATTTTAATCTTTCTTGCAATTTGTGCTTCCCAGATGTGCTGGATTACAGTTTCCATCATCCTCATTAGCAGGCTCATTTTGGAGATGATAGGAATTGTCATTCAATACAGTTAGAAGATTCTAATTTCAGTTCAAATTTGTCCTTCAAGTGAGCAAATATTAACTAATAAGCCTGAATTTCTCTTGTCTAATAGGCTGAAGCCATCCATGTTAACCCACTTTATATCTTGATACCATCAACCCTCTGTACATCATTTGCATTTTTGCTACCAGTAGCAAACCCACCCAATGCCATTGTATTTTCTTATGGTCACCTGAAAGTTATTGATATGGTAAGTTAACAGTAAGAAAAGAATAATTTGTGAACTATTTTCAAATGTTATTGTTGTTAATAATATTGAGAATACATCAGAAAGTATAATGACATCTATTATATGTGTTGATGGTGGTGCCATCAAAGAAGCTTTAATTCTCAAGAGGCCATCGCTGTCTGTCCATCCCCCCCCCCCACCAATCCTTCACAATTATCATCCAGTTTCCAATATTCCAATATTGTGGAGAAGGTTGTGGAAAAGTGGTTAGATGGCAGCTACAGAAGATCTTGGAAGACATAGATTATCTGGACAGTTTCGGTCAAATTTTCATTTATCACTGATTTGACAGAAATTGAATGTAATGGTGCATCATCCTTGTGCTATGTCATCTGTTAGCAGCTTTTGATGCAGTTGACTGGTGAATACTGCAATGTACTGCTAGTTAAACTGTCCTCGAAGATCATCCAGCTATAGTTGGCCAAAAATGAATTGGTCTGTGCCATAACCAGCAGTTCTTATTACTCCTGTGTGATATCACTAACAATGAACTGAACTGGCTATCAGTTGGCTTCCAGCTGCAATTCAAGTTGTCACCTAGAAAGCCCTTCATATATTATCTGTGGGACCACCTACTCTGATCATTTCTGCCTGCCCAGTATATTCAGGCAAGAGTGGTTGTGCTCCAGTGCCCTCAATTAAATGCTGTCATCTTAAGGGACCAAAGAAGTGTGCCTTCTGTTTTGCTGCCACTACCTTCTGGAACACCAATCTCCAGAAGTACATATGACACCCATTGTCTTAGGCAGAGGTCTTCAAACTTGGCAACTTTAAGACTTGTAGACTTCAACTCCCAGAATTCTCCAGCCTGGCTGGGAGTTGAAGTCTATAAGTCTTAAAGTTGCCAAGTTTGGGGACTCCTGGTCTTAGGGGTTCAAGGGCTCTTTAGATCTTGCTTTGGTCCTAGACCTGAGCTAAATGTGCTAGTGGAGACCCTGTCGGATGTGTTTGATGCCTTGGTTGTTTTTTTCCTGTTATTCTGTGTGGTATGGTTTTAATTGTTAAATTGTTAAATTTTATCTTTGATGTTCAATCTGCCCAGTTTTTTGGAGTGCAACAAATCATCATTATCACCATCCTTAGATGGTGATAGGTGCCATGAAGCACCTAACAGAACTTTTATAATAGCAGGCAGGCTGCTCAAACATAGTTCAGGGTTCAGCTTCTCTTTAGTAGCATATTATAACAGTTTATGGCTTTCTTGCTAGGCTTGAGGAGTTGGGTGGTGGAACTGTTGACCCAGCCACCTCTGGGTGTGGAGAGACGATGCAGCAGGGCAGGAAAGAATCTGGTCTTACCAGAGACCAGAGAGCCCATGCTGGGACCGAGGCAGGCTGACTTGGGCGCAGGCGGGCGGTTTGCCGGCACGTCCTTTGCTTGTTGGGGGTATTCCCATTTGCCCTTAGTGACAAGGAATGCTTTGTCATGTGGGCGAAGGCTGGGCCCCCCTCTGCAATGCGCAGGGGGCTCCCTGCAGACAACCATCTATAGATATTATTTGAGAAAATTTAATGTTCTAGGTATCAAACTCAAGGTCTGCGGGCTAGATCTGGCCTATGATGTGGTTGGATCTGGCCCAAGGGACCATCCTGGTCTACCCAATGTGGAGAGGAAAGATTAGGCCAGTGTGGCTTTGGCCCAGTCTACCCAGTGCAAAAAGGAAAGATCAGGCCAACATAGCTTCGGCCTGATCTGCCCAATGTGAGGAAGAAATATCAGGCCAGTGTAGCTTTGGCCCGGTTTACCCAATGCGAAGAGGAAACATGCAGCAGCTTGGGGAGTGTGTCAAGCTGGCCATGCCCACCCAGTTGGCCACACCCATGCATTCAGCCACACCCACCCAGTAAGCCATGCCTGGCTGGCCCCTAGGTCAACCACAGCCCTGATGTGGCCCTCGGTGAAATTGATACCCCTGTTGTAGAACTATTTATTTATTTATTTATTTATTTATTTATTTATTTATTTATTTATTTATTTATTTATTTATTTATTTATTTATTTATTTATTTATTTATTNCCGGAGTATAAGACCTGCAAACCTCCCCAAAATGGCCCATTTTCCGTGAAAACAGGCTCATTTTAAAAAAAAGGCACAATTAGCCTTTGGGGGTTTTATGGGGGTCCCCGGGGGGGGGGGCTCCCCCAAACAAGCCAAAAACAGCCAGTTTTTCATGAAAATGGATCCGTTTTTTGTCAAAAAAAAAGGGCATGGATAGTGTTTAGGGGGCTTATAGAGTGCTCCTGGGGGCTGGGGAGGGCAGAAATGAGTGAAAAATGGGCTGTTTTGTGCTCAATTTTTCCGCCCCCAGCCCCCAGGAGCACTCTATAAGCCCCCTAAACACTATCCATGCCCTTTTTTTTTGACAAAAAACGGATCCATTTTCATGAAAAACTGGCTGTTTTTGGCTTGTTTGGGGGAGCCCCCCCCCCAGGAGACCTCTATAAACCTCCTAAAGGCTAATTGTGCCTTTTTTTTAAAATGAGCCTGTTTTCACGGAAAATGGGCCATTTTGGGGAGGTTTGCAGGTCTTATACTCCGGTGCGTCTTATACTCTGAAAAATATGGTAATAGCTATGGTGAAGTCTATGTCTGCATAATTATGGTTACTCTAGCTACAACTCTGCCTGATCTGGACAGATTTGGCAGAAATCACATCTTTACATTGCAATATAGTAGAGAAGTCTAAGCCCACACTGATCAGGTATCTGCCCAACCATTAAGGCCCACAGAAGACTAAGATGCCTCTGCTATTAGACATTCCCCAGGCTAGTAAACAGAAATGGAAGAGGACTTCTCTTATATCACTGGGCTTATGTGAGGAGTAGGATTTGTCCACACCACCCATCAAGGTGGATAAAAATCAATGGTTTTTTTTTTATAAAAAAAACAATCAGATTTTTTAAAATTTAAATCAGACTTTTAAAAATTTAAATTGGATTTATTTTTATTAAATAAATTTTAATAAAATGCTTTTGGAATAAAGATCTATCTAAAGGTAGCTTTCTACTTAAGATACATTAATAATTTAGGTTATTCAGCATCAAATGGAGCTTAGTTATATACCATGAGGCTGTGTATTCTGCAATATTTACATTTTTGCTAAACTCATTCAGTGAATCCAAGTTCTTCAAGCTAAATAGGAAACCTTCATTTTGTTTGCAAACAATAATATTAAAGATTCTAACTACCAGCAAGAATAAGTCCTTACATTTAAAGAGCACCTGTCATTTCAGATCCATCATGGCAACACCTGTTAGCGGGCATCCGCTCACCTGCTGCCTGCCACGCTCCTCACCTTGTTGTGTCACTGTCGCATCACCAGCCATCCCATTAAAGAGAATGGGACTATCGGTAAGTCAAGAGTGGATCAGAGGAGGAGCCGCTGTGGGACAGAGATGACAGCTGCTCTTTAAAAATTAT